AAAACAGCGTCAGCATGAATGTTGAAGTAAAGCCAATCGACAGCTGGTCAAGGGGAATCCGCCGTCGTCTTCTGGTCGAACCGACCTTCGAATCTCTTCATCCAACACTTCCACTCGAAATGGAAGTAAGCTCGATAATTATGAAACAAGAGACTCCTCGAAACCCAACTTTTTCTCGTATATATTACGTACGTACTACTTGGTATCAATCAAGTAGTGCCGAAAACACAGACATCTATGACGAAGGAAGAGAGTGAAATTTAACACAGCCTCTAATAGCTAAACCATCCGAATTCTGGTAATGTTGACTACAGAGCTAGGTTAGCCTCTGTCGTTGGACTAGGGACAGGTCTCAATGGGGCTTCAAAAGGAAACGAAAAGCTCCGAGGGGATCCCGCAAAATTGGATTAAAAAGCAATGTTCACTGCCTGCATCACACAAAGTAGGATGGGCCATATAAACTTTAGATACAAGTGAACACTGATGTTCGTTTATGTTTCCTTAATGTCCATATCAAAAATGTAAAGAATCAGCACTAAAAAGTAAAAAATTGCTTTGCAGAAGATGACGAAATATGGTATGAGGTAGCATGAATTAGGGTTCAATCTGTCAAAACTGACCGACATTATGCTCCTGGAATAATGCGTGCAACCGAGGCAAGTGTAGCGGCAGCAAGTGCAGCAGAACGCGTTGATCTGCTTGGACTCCGAGGAGTGAAGCAGAAGAATAGTACGAAGCTGGTAGTAGGTCTTCAAGAAGACAGCACATTTGCCAGAAAGTATCCTCTTCCTCCAGGATCAGGAGTAGAGTGGCAACAATCTGTAAATCGAGGAGTAAGTTAGGCATACACTCTGAAGAAAAACTACCGAAGATTATGTATGGTCGCAATTGTACATTCAATGTAGACATGCTGGGAGCATTGCAATGCTTTTCTATTTGTATATTTTCAATATTCATTTTGAAAATAAATCACAGTATTAAAATCGCAGTCTATCGGTATATCGTGATTAGATATGTCGAAAGAAAATCTTATTTTTAGACAACCATTTATCCAGATAAAAAGTTTTAAAAGGGCGACATTTTAATATTTATCACTGTGCATTTAGTATTTAATATTTACTTTGCAATTTATTACTTGTTAATATTAGATTATATTATATTTAGAATATTTATCCTATTAATATGTCATTTAACCGAATGTTGTCTCTGGAGGTGTCAAGAAGGCAGCATAATGTTTTAAAAGGTGGATAAATAGTGCTCTTTATTCGCAATGCCTTGAAGTAAATTAATGAGCTCTATCCTATGTCATATTAACTTTGAGATTAGAATGCAGATGTTAGATCATATTTAAAAGCAGCGATGAGATGAAATGAGATGGAATTAACTGAGATGAGATGAAATGAGATGTAATGAGATTA